CGCTCGGCCGCGCCGCCTGTCCCAGCCTCCTCGAGCCCCTCGCCGCGGGCGCCGGCGCGCCGCCCCGCCCAGGTGAACCCGGGAGCCCCAGCGCCTAGCGCCCAGTTCTGAGTCGCCTCCGGCGAATCCCGCAGCCCCGTCCCCGTCTGCCACTGGGTCCGCAGTCGGGGCGCGCAGCCCTGGATTTGGGAGAGGGAGGTCGTCTTCCTCCGGCCCCGCGGATGCTGGGCCCCGGGGCCCCCCGAGGTGGCCTTGGCGGGCTCAGCCCCGGAGCCGTCAGAGCTGGTGCTGCCCTCAGGGCGCGGAAGGAGGTAGGCGGCGGGCTTCGCGCGGGCTCTGCCCGCTCACCTGGCTGCGGAGGCGCCGCCGCTCGGCTGGCTTAGGAGGGAAGAGGGTTCTTCCCCCGGGCAGCGAGGTAGCCCGGCGAGATTCCGGGTCGGATGGAGGGTGGGGTGGGGTCAGAACTGAGGGTGCAGATAGGGGATGCCAATGGACCGTGGTGTAGGCACGTGGAGATTTGGCCTGGCCTGGGCAAGGCTGGGCGGGGTAGAGGGGTCCTTGGCTCCGAGCTGGCCTCTGGGCCTTGGGACCCTGGCAGCGCTGGTGAGGGTCCGGGTGTGGGTGTGGGCGTGGGGGTGGCGCGCGTGTTCCCTGTCAGAGCCGGGAGGAGGGGTGCGGATAACAACTTGTAGCGTTCCCTTCAGATAAACAGGGCTGCGGTGCGGAGGGAGGATTCCGATGGGGGTCAGGTTTCCTTGGAACCGTGCCTGAGCCGGTTAGTGCGTGCACGTGGGCTGGGACCTCTCGGCCTTGGCCCTCAGCCTCTTAGGAATTGGTTTGGGTGTTTCTAGCCATGTCCTTCAGCACAAGATCTTCAGATATCTGGCCATTTTTGCGCTTTGCCCTGATAGCCCTTTGCCAGCTTCTCCAGAAACAGATTTTGGCGACTAGCTCGTAAGACATTTTAAGGCATTGCATTGCTATAATTAGAGGCGTGAGGGGCTACAAGGCTCCCTACTTGTCCGGATTTTGCATCCTTTCATAAATCTTCCCACCAAGATGTTGCATTGGCTGAGATGTCAGTTGAAGAGAAGTGATATCATGCTGCAGGTACAGACGTGTCCCTCTGCTCCCAAGGACCTTGACCTTGTGGAAGATTCATCTAGAGGTGTCCTTGAACTGATGCATGGGCTGCAGCTCCGGCTCAGCCTTTGATGTGCTGAGGCTGCTGTTTGTCAGTTTTGTTTCCCCTTCCATAGATGATGGAAATTTGTTTCCAAGTAAAATCTGCACATTATCAGGTTAATGATACAAAAAGATGTTAAACGAGCTTTTAGCAATTGACGTATATTCTAAAGCATTATTTATAATTTTGCAAATTCAAGGAACTGTAAAAAATTCTAAGATTTATTTTTCTGAACAGTTTTCTTTCATCCTTACTGTAAGGCTCATTAAACGTTCTGGCACAGGCAGAAATACTAGAGTAACTTCATCATTTGTCAAAAAATACATGTTAAGTAAATACTGTTTTGCCCCTTTCCCATGTTTTTACTTAGCATAGCCATTATTTCTAAGATGGAGGTCTTTATTATAAAACATAATGAATTGATGTACTGTCAAACCAGCATCTGTGTTCCCAAGATTATTGGGAAAATTAAATGTGAATGAATAATAACGTCAGTAGGCACTAAAATGTTAGCAGTTATTGTTTGTAATTTTACTCCTGTCTGTAATTCACAATATTGTGTCCCAGTTGTTCAAACCCAAAATTTAGATTTCATTTTTAAACTCATTTCCTCATTCTGCAACAGCCAATGCATCAGAAAAGCTACTATCACATAAGTTCATTTCCGCTCTTGCCACTGTAGTCCAAGCGTCAAGATGTCTCACTTGTACCTTTGCAGATACTTCTTGTCTACTTTCTTGTCCTTCCATAACCCAGTCTGTTTAACACATCAGAAAGACCTTTAAGAAATGTAAGTTGATCATGTTGCTCACTCGCTTAAAATCCTGGAGTGCCTTTCCATCATATTTTTGAGAAAATTCAGACTCCCTTTCTTGGCAGTGTCATGTAGCCTTTGAGGCTTTGGTGGTGTTATTCCCTGTACATCTGTGCCCCCCCATACTGATTCATATGGTTCAAATCTATGTCCTCCTGGAAGCATGTCTTGACTTCCTGAAAGGAAGCTATCTCTCAGTTATGCTCTGTAGTCTCTGCTTTCTTGTCAGCTTAACATTATTATACTTTGCCTCATGTTTTCCTGTTTACCTTTATACCTGTCACCTGGATCACCAGACCATGAAAATGTAAGAATAAGGTGCTTCATCTGTGTTGTTCCATGTTGTGCCCTTAGTACATAGAAATAGTGCCTTCTACATACCAGGTATTCTGTACATATTAATTGGGTTGTGTGAAGCTGTAAAACTGGACAGGCATGTCCCCTGTCCTGAGGATTTATGGTTTAGAGCAGGGTCAGCAAACCTTTTCATGAAAGACCAAATCCAAATATTTTAGGTTAGCAGCCCGTGTGGTCTCTGTTGCAGTTGTTTAGCTCTGCCATTATAGGACCAAAGAAGCCATGGACAGTCTGTACATGAACTGACTTGACTGCGTTCCATTACAACTTTATTTAGGGAAACATGAAGTGGGTCCCTGTTACAAAGTTTCCTGACCAGTGGTTTAAGCAGTGTTGTGAAAAGGGACTTGATGCCATGATGCAACTTTACCTACAGTGTGTAGGTCAGTAGTCATTGGCTGAACTCTTAAAATGCCCTGACACACCTGAAGATCTGGATTTTGGTGGTGTTTTGTTTGGGATTTTTGGGTGTAGTCATATAGTAGTAGTAGTGGGAATTGAACCAAAGGATTTCAAACTGAATTTCATCTCTAGTCTTTTTCAGTTTTGAGACAGGGTCTCACAAAATCATTAAGTTGCCCAGGCTGAGCTTGAACTTGTGGTCCTCCTGCTTCAGCTTCCTAGAGTGCTGTGATTAAGGCACTTATCACTACACCTGGCTAGGATTTGGAAGATTTTAGATTTTGAAATATTTTTATATATATAATGAGATGTGAGGATAACACTGAAGTCTGAACATCAAAGACATTTATATTTCATGTACTCCTCATACACATAGCCTGAAAGTAACTTATGCGTTGTTTGCGTTGTATAACATGTTGTATGAAGTCTGGTACAGGATTTTCCACTTGTGAAATCAACTTAGTGCTCAGAAAGTTTCAGCTTTTGAGGCACTTTGGATTTTGGGTTTTTAGACTAAGAATGTTCTACATGTGGACCCCAATTTGTTTATCCATTCAGCTGTTAGTAAGCATTTGGATTGTGTCCAATTTTTGGCTGTTTCAAGGATAGCCTTTGAATATTCAAGTCCCAGAAGCTTGCATGAATTTATGCTTCCAATTCTTTTAGGTATGTTGTGAAATTGGATCGTATTTTAGATGTTTTTAACTTCTTAAGAAATTGTTCTGGTGCTTATTTCCAAAGTGATTTACATTCTACTAGCAGTATATGAAATTCTTATTACTAACATTCTTATCAACACTTGTTATGATCTGTCTTGTTTGGCCATTGTCACCTTAGTGTAAAGTGTCATATAAGTGGTTTTATTTTACATTTACCTAATGATTGATGACTAGGTATCTTTTCATGAGCTTGTCATCCATATAGTCTCTTTAGTGAAGTACACTTTAAGTATTTTCCGATTTTGATTGGGTTGTTTGCTTTCTTTATATTTGGCTTTTTATTTGACACTTTCTGTTTTCAAATGCTTTGCTAGATAAGTGATTTGCAAAATATTCTCCATGACTTGTCTTTCTTTTGCTCTTAAAGTTTTCTGTATTTATTTATTTGTCTATCCATATGCTGGAGATTGAACCTTGGACATTTTCACTGAGCTATATCCCCACCCCTATTTACTTCATGTTTTATTCTGAGATATGGTTTCAATGAGACATTAAATTGCCCAGGGTGGTCTTGAACTTGCCATCCTTCTGCCTCAGTCTCAAGAATTACAGGTGTGTTCTATCATGTCTGGCTTCTTTCTATTCTCTTAATAGCATCTTTCAAAGAGCAGAAGTTCTTCATTTTGATAAAGTCCAATTTATTAGTCTTTAAATTTTCCTTAATTATAGCTGTTTGAATTAAAATATAAATAGCCCTATATGTTTAGTATTACTGTATTGGACAGCACAGGTCCAGAGGAAGACTCAAAGCAATAATGAATCATGACAGTTGTTACTAAAGAATCATTATGCTGGTTTGGATGAACATGAACATGAAGTTGTTAATACATTTGGATGTTTAAGTGAAGGGCTTTTAAAGTGACCCTTGGCTCTTTTATGAGTTGAAAAAGAGTGTTTTATAAATAGTTTCAGGAAAGGGGAGCCATAAGTTCAAAGATTCTCAAGTAAGTGTGTTTGAGGAATTAGTTTGTAAATGCTGTATAAACAGCTAGTCTCTCTATTTTATAGCCACATGGATTATTTTAACCTCAAGAATTACCTTGCTGAATCACTTATCTTTACTTGCTAGTCAGACTATTTGAGTGTTTTCAAAACTCAGATCAGCTCTCAGACAACAAAGACTTTCTATCACTGAGGCTCTTCTAAAGAATATACAATATATATGTACAATAATTTCTATTACAGTAATTTCTAATTTCTATTATATTGTATTCTAAAATAGAATGATACATATGCTCTAAATTCTTTTAGAATAATGTATCCTTGAAGATATCCGTATTTATACAAAACAGTTTTAATGCAATGAA